TTCTCTCCGAAGAGTAGCAGAGTGCTAAGATTGGTTATTGGAATGTCGATCTTGACAGAAACAAGATTTATGGTACTGTCTTAGCCGGTCGTGCTCGCTACCGCTTTTAGTGTGACTTGAATGGACTATGGGTATCGATTTCGACGCCATCTGTACATAGACAAAGCATACATCATAGGTTACCGTGTCTGGTACTCCTCTTGTACCAGAGCACAGTAACTGTGTAATAGTTTATGCGACGTTACGAAACAGGAACCACGCGAATAGAGGCGATAGTAGAATTAAAGTCAAAGAGAGAGAGAGAGAGAGAGAGAGAGAGAGAGAGAGAGAGAGAGAGAGAGAGAAACAACACATCAAGGTATCTTGACGCTTTACGATGCGATAGCTAGAGATTTAAGGGCCTCTCCCCTCGGCTCTCCTCACCACTCACTCTCTGGCAACAGTACTCACTCGTTGAACACGCTTCATGTCACAAACTACTCAACCTCACGTTCTTTAGGTTATTTCATCTCCCATCTTTCTCCCGATTCTGGTTCGAGCGCCACCATCTTGACGTCTTCGAACCCCATTTTGAATTACCACTTTAACCTCACTAAAATCGAGACATTTAAAAGCTCCCTTTTAATTTAAAGGTAGTTTTTTATTAATTTTTGGCTGACGTTTACGAAAACGTATGCATCGATAAATAATGCATGCATGGATGTATCTACGGTAAATTTATTACTCAGGAGCAGAAGTAGAATTTTATCAAGCGTGACGGAGACGAAGAGGGAGGCCAAGAGTTATAGATACAGTTTGTTGGGTGGAATGAGATTGCTCCCGCTCCTATCACTGAGGTTTAGTCGTAAGGTCGTGCAGTGAGCGAAAGACCCAGGATTGCTTCAGAAAGAGCAAGAGATCCAACAGGATGGAAATTCAAGAGACAAAGACGGAAAATTAAAGAGGAATTTAGCTGTCGAGTGTCGATCAAATGTGTGAAACTAGATCTGAGGATTTGTCGTCGCGTGTAGTGTTGAACCACGGGTTGTATTTATAAGCTCACTCTGTGCCGTCTAGTGTGTGCAAGACAGATAAAAGGGTGTCAGGGTGTAAGGAAATAACACGAAATGCACCACAATATTGCTTGGCAAGACGACACGTCCTGACTATTCGTATTGTCTCTTGGATCATATAAAACCTTTTTTTATTTATCACCATTGTTATTATTTTCTCAATTTTTTTTTTTAAAGAATTCAAATTTAAATCTTTTGAAGATTCTTTTTATATTTTCCGATAAAACTAACTGGGGATGAAATTAATCTTATTAACTGATAAATAAAGTCTCGAGATTTCGTTCAAAGGCTTCGATTCGAATTGGTATTATACGTCATTAGAGGAAAGTAGCTCTAAAACCCCGACAAAAAAAAATAAAATTTAGAGCCCTATTAACGACAGTCATTGTCGGAGGAAAAGAAAGTGAAATAAAATAACAAACAGCTTAAGTACTTGCTACTTTTATTTAATCCTTATTAATGTTATTATTATAATTTTAGTGTCTGACGGTCGACTACGAACTCGTTATCGACACTTTTGATAAAGCTCTTCAATAACGAAACTGCTTTCGATAAAAAAGTGCCTTAGGCTCTGCCCCTCTTGATCCTATTTTTTATACCGAATCAAATGGAAAGCGCTCAATTGTCTTATTCGCTTGACTTGTTCTCTTGGGAAATTAATCTGGGCGACGATTAGACGAAAAGGGAACGAATATTCAATCAATTACTTGCTTTCTGACAAATCGTTAATACTTCAGCACTTTATACTAATTAATTATCGATTTACAGCAAAAACTAACAAGGTTTTGAGTCAAAATCAGGGGAACTATTTAAACTCATCGGGTATTTAACTTGGAAAGAGAAAGAGGAAAGTATATATAATAATGGAGCGAAAGCCAATGAATGTTTAAGCAGTTTTATCCAATATCTAATCACAAAGTTTTGTTACAACTTTGTCTCGCCGGTATTTTGACGTCCATTTACTTTGACCACACAAGAATATTCCATCGAGCAAAGGCCAACTCTGTTAAACTAAACTAAACTTTTTATCGAATAATTTCCATAAAGTATTAATGGTACGAATCGGCAAATAGTTTAGAATGAAAATTATTTAAACTCATCGGGAGATTCTTGACGAAGCTTAAATCAAAAAAATTTATCGAGTATATTTTAGAGTATAATGGCCAGCTGCTAAAAGTTGTTTTACGTCGCGCCCAGTCTTGCTCGAGGAAAAAAACTTAAACGATCTTTCGAAAAAAAATAAAATAAAAAAGTTTAATAGAAGTAGAACAAAAAATGCATTAAACTTTTCTATGGAGTTATTGTATTATATATTGAGTAATGGTCAACACCAAGGCTATTGGACCGCTGAAACTTTTATTTTTCTTTCGAAAAGTATGTCTAGAGTCTGGAGATTGACGTACATATAATAAAAACCAAAGTAACCACTGAAATTTGCTTAACAGTCTTTGCAATCAAATAAAAGACACCCGAGGGGAATTTTACTTGAATCAATACTTATAAACTTTCTATACATATATATGAACATGTAAACGGGGGTATAATTTAACCACATTGTATTTTTCTTCTGTTTTGTTTGAGTTTTCTTACCGTCTATTGATTTTTTTATAGTCCTCTGCTCGTTGGTCTATCTGTCTTGTCTCGCTGTCTATCATTTAGCAATGGGGATAAAAATTTATTTTCTGTTAAAAATTTCAACCCTCTTGAGACCTTGATAATGATATTTTTTATGTTTCAACAGATTTTTTTATTTTTGTATACATAGATAAAAAAATTAGTAGTTTTCGGCGGTTGTTTTTACTCTTCGAGGATTTTTAATCACTTTAGGAGGACGCTTTGGAACCATTGTCATTTTGGGGAATTGCTATCCTGACGATCGTTAATCGGGTCAATTCCCCAGGGAGTTACTAATTTAACGTTTGCGGTGATAGTAGCCCAGTAGATGTGTCTATATGTTCTATCTATGTGAGGGTTATCGTATTAGGTTTAATGAAAGAGGGTCAGGTTGGGTCAAAATGAAGGCGACCACCAAATATGTACAACTAATTATCCAAATAATTTATCACTATTACAGATTTAATTATTTATATAAAATAATAATAATTATTATTATTACTATCATCATTATTATTATTACTAGCAACCTTGCAGTCACTATGTGACTGCCGTGACTTGTGAACTATAAATAAATAAAATTTTGCTTTATTAAATAATGACTTTTGTTAAATTGCACTGTATTTTTTTAACTATTGACGTTTTAAAAGATATAAGCTTATCTCGATGTTACACTCATTTTTCTTTAATTCGTCATATCGCCGACTTTAACTGTTAGAAGTGATACGGTGGGGTTTTTTTGGTTTTCAAAAATCTCAACCTATGCGGCAAGGGTCAAATCTCAATAGGGATTCGAACCTACGCTTGGCAGTTGATGAAATAAAATTATTAAATTAAAAAAAATTATTTTATCTATATTGCGCTTGATTTTTAGTTCATCTCGTGATGTATTTTTATCGATTATTGTACTAAATAAAAAAAAAATAATGCATGGAATTTTAATTTGGATAGTAAAAGGTCAATCAAAAAAATCTAAACTAGTGCTCTAATAAATTGAAAAAAATTATGAGCGACCTTTTAAAATTTTAATTTTGAACTGAAATTTTTAGAATCTCATTTTTTTTAGTCTATAAAGTTATACCGTAACGAGAAAAAAAATTAAAAAAAAAATTCGATTTTTGACGATTTTTGAAATTTAAAAAAATTTGGAGCGACCTCTTAAAATTTTTTTTTTGAGCTTTTCTTTGGAGAGGGCTCTTAAAACATAAAAAAATGACATTTTTTCACTCGAGACTCAAAAAAAAATAGTCGGTTTTTTTGCGCCACCCTAATACATATATATAATACACATAAACATATGAAAAATTGATGTGGGTACTCAAATGAAAGGTCTCGATGAGTGTAACATCGGGATAACCTTATATCTTTGAAAATGTCAATAGTTCACAAGATATAAGGTCATTGCTTAATTATGTATCTAGAGATAGAGCATCATTTTCAAATTCAGCCTAAATAATATTTATCATCATAAATTGACTATTGGTGAGAATGATGTGAAACCTTGAAAAGGCACAACTCCACACGGGAAAAAATTTCTGGGAAAATTTACGATACAAGTATTGTAAAGCTGGACTATACTTTTACTACTATTAATTATCAAATATTTTAGAAGGAAAAATACTATTTATTTATGAAAAAATACGATATTACTATTGTAAAAAGTAAAAGATGAAAATTTCGAGTGGTGCCTCTGTATCTTTCCAATAGAACTATAGCAAATTTTACAATAGTTGAATTGGATGAATGTCTCTCAATTAGTGTGAGTGATTGCCGTGCACAGCGCTAGACTCTGAGTTTATGTAAATGTTAAAGGATATAGGTCTTAGTTTACCTCGGATAGCCTAGAGGGAGAGTCTCTGGCTGCCAACACAGAGTTCTGGGTTCGATTCCCAGATAGCACGAAAATATTTGTTTCTTTTTTCGATTACTGTACAGGTACCAATTCGTGCAACCTTCTATCTCTCTCCCTCCCTAATATTTCTTTTAAAAAAACCTACTGTGAATTTTTACAATAGTTGAATTGTAAAGTTCACAAACACATATTGTATAATTTGCTCTATAGAATTCGATTTTTTAAGACTCTTGCTAGTCTTATTTATTGGATAAAATTTACAATAGTAGATCGTAAAAATTACTAAATGAGATGTATAGTCCACCGTTACTATTTTATTTAGTAAAAATTACAATAGTAAAATAGTAAAAACTCCTTCAATTTTCTTCCCGTGCAGGTCAAGACTTTTCCAACGATATCAAATTTAACCACAAAACCCATTTTATCATATAAATACACTGGTCACAAAATTTTGCTTATTCTCTTAATAATATAGATTATTATTATTTCATGTTATATATCATCAAAGAGTTTCCAACAGGATTGTCCGTAGCTTGATGAACATTAAGACTATTAGATTCAGTGTCGGTGTTGTATTCGTGGTACTTGGAGTTGTATTTGCCCAAGGCCATGTCTATCAGTGAAAATGAGCATCCTGAGAATCTGGACTCGCAACTGGCGCTCTCAAACCCAGCTCGGTGTGCTTCCGTGTATATGTGATGTTCTTTGGGTTCATGAGACAGGACCGCTCGTTTCAAAGGCATCCTGCAATTCAGAATAGCTTCAATAACCTTCCCCTTCTACTTACCCTTATTCCTCTTCTATCAAACAATTCCAAATCCCTGAGCTAAATTTCCAAACAGTAAATAAACAACCCTCTGTAGTATTCTCCATTGTAAATCTCAGATCTCACTCAGAAATTAAGAACCTAATCCCCCGGACGATTACACCGAAAATCGATCGAGATTGGCAACGCCTTGGCGCCATAAACAACCGAGTTTCCAAATGGCAGCCATTTTTAACTCCTCGACGCTCGACTTAGTCTTAAGCAGTAAAAAGCTGGCTGTTCCCCGGAGAATATTTTCCCGATTGAATCGTTATTTGGTGTACTAACTATATTGTTACTGCAGATCTCTCTCTCTCGGTCGTAACGTTCTTTGTCTGTCTGTCTATTGAGTAACATTGTAGCATTTTATCTTCTTCTACCTCTCAAAGAGGAAAACCCTAACCCTAACCCTTTGGCAGCTAACCTTCTCAATGTCATTTATCTTTATGGGAATAACTAAAGAGAAATTCTTACGAGAAAACTATCCTCATCATTTCCTCTAGCAGAGTATTCCCCTTAGGCATCAGAGCCTGAGCGGCTTCACACAGGGCTCGAAGGATGCAAGTACGTCCATTGTACCCCATTCTGTAATTGAAATAAAAATTTTAAAAATGTTGTAACTTTAAATTGAAAGATATTTTTGGAAAAATTCAAAAATATTTTTTTATCCTAAAAATAAATTAACCAATACTGTAAATGCTCAGCTGGATAACAACAATTTTCTCTTGTTAAGTTTTTCTCTGTTCTCCGGAATAAAAATAAAATGGATCTCGAAGACGTTTCGGATTAATTAAAAGGCATTAACTGCATTGTTTAGTAATGGATTTTTTTTTTAAACGTTTAGCCGGATCTTTTTTTTCAAGCTTGTCGTCCATCTTCCTTTTAACGTTGGTCGCGAAGCGACCGAGACGAGCATTTATCGACTTTTTTTTATTCTATTTTCATGCGCGTTTTCAATTACCCGGACAACGGGAATGACATCCGACCGCTGGTTCTTTCCATTGTCAATGTGGTTAGACGGTTAAAAATATAAAATAGAAATAAAAATAATAATAATAACAATAGTTTTGTAGTAATAGCAATAAAATAATAAAACTATTGAGAAACATTTAAAATGAGTTTTGATATAACAAACAAACAAACAAACAAACAAACGAACAAGTGGATCATTTAAAAGTTTAGAATTTTTATTTCCACTTTATTTGTTAAAACTTTCAACGATATTTTTACAATATTCAAATAAATTTTGATAGTGTTTTTCCAGGAAAAATGTTATAATATTATTAGATTTAAATTTTTAGATGCAAGACTCAAAGACAAAATATTTTTTTATTTTAAATTCATTCCAGGTAAATTGTTTTTTCATTTTAAATCTTGTAAATTTTTTTTATATTTTTAAAGAATGAATTAAAAGAGAATTGAGGTCAAGTAATATTTCTAAGAAATGAAAAAAAAATTTTTTTTATTTTTTAACCTTATCCACTTACTAACTTGCTCGGTTATAAAGCTAGAGTTCGACAGGTACTGGCACGTAATATGGCCGGTATCTCAGTTCTTTTGATGAACTAAAGATGCCGGCAATGCAAAAAAATTTTCGATAAAAAAAAATAAATATGAAACCGCAGGACATTTCTAATGACGAGAGATATTTATTGAGATAAGATTGAATAATATTTTATTTACTTTTCATGAATATTTATATAATATTGAGATGGATCTGCTATTTAATATTCCGAGTTGCAGGATGATCAAGACTAATAGCATTCCTTTGAATTTAAATATCCTTATACTAAGAAAATATTATCAACTAAGGAATATATACATATATTTATACGATCTGAATTTTTCCTTAATAGGATATTAGAGCGGTGTGCATTGGAATCGATACTTAACAGAAGTTTCTCCAATGTTAACTTTATAATTAAACGGTAAAAAAATACTCACGCGTCTATAATGACCTCGAGCTTGTTATAAAGTTCCCGCCGATGTCGTCGTTTAAAGTAGTCGTAATCCGATTTCCGATAGTGGATCTTCCCGATCTTGCTCTTGCCGATGGGTTCTATATTTTTATAGTTCTTTTTAAAATTGTCAACTGCATTGTTGCCGTAAGTTCCCTTATTCAGATTTCCGTAGCGAATCGAATCAGAATTTCCATTGAGAATCCATTGATCTGTCTCGAGCAACGCAGGATGACGATGCTTTATTGAATCACCCGGTCGACGATCCTGACGGCGAATTTCCAGCAACGGATCCAATGACGGTTTGCTTTCGTTTGGAAGATCGTAAGATATTCCCCAATTCAAACCCTCGGTAAATATATTATCGGGCGTCAGTGTGTGGATCGTCATGCACAGTGCAATCTATCCAACAAAAACAGCAACAATATTTCCAAAAGTATACTGATAGAAGGATTTAGTACGGAGTAATAAACTAATTTAGTAATAAAATTTTTAGTCATTTATTTGGGAGAAAAAAATATTTCTTACCTATCAGTATTATTTTTTACAGTTAAATAAAAGATTTTTTTATTCTTAATAAATTATATTAATATAAACAAAGCCTTATTATATCAAAATAAATATTTGTTTCCACGAAATAATATTTAGAAGTAGTTACTAAATATTTTTTTGCTAAGTATTGCCGGTAGATGGATCTGCTTTAATTCCAATGTGACACATAACCTGTTCACTGACTTAGATTATTTTATTCAGCTCGATTTTGGGAGACTAGAATTTAATTTTCGCGCGCAAGCGCGCGCATCATATTTATTGTCATGATATATTTATGTGTCGTTTATGTATATTATATTCACTTTCAACCAATCAGAATGAGAATAAATATTTTCAACCAATCACATTACGAATAAATTGGTTTCACATACATTTCATCTCAATTTTATTATGGGATATATCAAATCTTTGAAAACACACATACTCCCAAATGGCTTATATGTCATTTCTCAGTGGAGTTTAGTTTAAATTTTTCAATTTGTCTATTATTGATATATTAAAAACTTGTTTAATTTTAAATTTTATGAATGTCTCAACTAAAAAATCATAATTTAATGAGATTCTTTTCATTATAATACCTTATATTTTTACTTATAATTATTTATTTTAATTATTTTGATTTATTTTGAGTAAAAAGTTAGGTTATACGCTAAAATTAGTTAAAAAATTAATTTCTTTAATACCCATAAACGATTTATTGAGTAGCAATAAATAATTTGTTAAATACTACTAAATATTTGAATCGTTTATTTGAGAAACCCCATAAGTGAAAAATACTAAATTTTTCAGAAGAAGCAAAAAATATTTTTCGGTTAAGTTTGCATTAAGATCTTTAACCAATGATGAATAATAATGATGTTAGTATCCCGAAAAAATATTCGAGCATGAAAAAATTTAATTATTAATTACTACAATGCGTTTCATTGATTCTTTACGGTCGGAAATTTTACAGAAAATGGAAACATCAAATTTTGGAAATCTGTGAGTAAGGAAATCAATAAATGAAAAATATGGAAAAATAAGATTTCTCAGAAATAATAAAAAAATGATGTGTCTTATTGAGGATACTTTGCAATATCGATTAGTTAAAAAATAGCAATGAAAAAATGTAGTAATCAAAATAATTAGAATTATTTTAAAAAAGATAAGCGTAAAATTATAAAATAAAAAAAAAAAGATTTCCGTGAAATTAGACGCATCAGAATATAAACATCTAAAATGACTGATATTTAAAAAAAAAAGAAAAGAATAAATTCAGACAAGTCGAAAAAAAGACAATTATAAATTTAAAAACATAAAAAAA